GAGTAGTTCAGAGAACCGGAAGATACCACCTCTGGCTGCGCCCAGAGTGGGGTGGGAATGGAGATTTTGCAATATCCTTCCCCCAAGAGTGGGGAAGGAATGGGGATTTTGCAGTATCCTTCCCCTGCCGTGCCCACCAAGTCACACCCACAGAACCGGTTGTAAAAAAAATTGAATTTCACCACTGTTGAGAACCCAAATTGTTGAGGGCAATATGCTGACTCTGGAAACTGCTTAGAGAGAGCTATAAAGTACTGTGAAGCAATATATAAGTCTAAGTGCTATTGCTAAGTAAGGGTGCCTAGGGCAATCAAAAAAACTAAAAAGAAACTGTAATACCTAATAAAAAGTAGGCAAACTGTGGGTCACAAGTGGGACCAAACATAATCCCAGACTATCCTGCCAAATTTTGACAACAAACTTTCCCATTTATCAATGCTTCAGTTCCATTTACTCTGTGATATTGTTAGGCACCAGGTATATTCATCTGCTGCTCTCAGTGACCCAAATAATTAATTTAAAAATCTGAATCTATGAATGGAAAAGGATTGCTTGCTGCTGCTGTAGGGCATAGGTAACCAGCATTTTAACTACAAAGTTTAATATAGAAACATTTAAATGCATTCACACTCACTAATGTACATATAACCAGCCCTCTGTGCTCTTCCCTCCCAGTGAATTAAGTAGGAGCACAAGGATGAAGAATGAAACAAGGAACAATTTATTTGACGGCATTTGATTTGATTACATAATCAATAATATAAGTCATTCTAGCCAAGTGATGAAGTTAATCAGCAGGAAAACTTTTGTAGGTCAGTCTTTAGTGACCAAAGCTGCAGGTTGCACACCCCTATATTATGAACAGTGATTCTCTCACTAACTAATCTATGGAAGTATATTGTGGCTCACTTTGAATCTTCTGCAGATTTAAAAAAGGCTAAAATAGTAAAATATTTTGTAAACTTTCATTTTTACAAGTATGTAAACTTTTCAGGTACCTGTCTCTCTTATAATTTTCATTCTGTTGGTGCAAAATTTATTCCAGATTATTACTAATATTAAAATGTTTAACAATAAAGGAAACTAATAATGCTCTTTATTATAAAATCTAAAACAACTGGAATTTTGGAAGCAGTTAAAGCAAGCCAAAGCTACAGCAAACAAGAACCTCCAGATATATATACCCACCCACCCCCTACATACATACATACATACATACCCACACACCTACACCACAGATATCTCTCAGCTTATGACTATAACTGAACCTGCAATTATGTCAATTATGTTTATTGCGGTTGTAAGTCAAAGCACCCATATGACTAGACTGTTATTTAATAATAATATGACTGTTATTTTTTTGCCTTTTCACAGTAGTTCTTAAGTGAATGTTACAGTCATTAAGTGAATGCTGTAATCATTAAGCAAAGCAATTCATTTGAATGGGCATTTTTAGACCAGTTTGGTCTAGTGCAGGTGTGTCAAACTGGCGGCCTGTGGGCCAGATGCGTCATGCGCAGGCCACACTAACCCCAGCTCTGCAAAGGGAAAAACATTGCGAAACATCACATGCCAGCAATGTGCCACCATGAGTTTGACACCTGTGGTTTAGTGGTTAAGGAACTAGAAAGCAAGAACCTGAGCTCAGATCCCACAATAGCTATGAAAGGCAACTGGGTGACCTTGGATCCATCACTTACTCTCAACCCAACTCACCCCACAAGTTGTTGTTGTAGGGAAAATAAGAGGAAAAAGGTGGGTTAGACATATTTGTAGCCTTGAGTTATTATAAAAATAATAAAATGAGATATGAATAAATATTGTGAATCTGGTAGATGTACATTAGTGATGTGGAATACAACAACTAGTCATGCAGTCACATGATTGTGGGGGGCAGTGTATCCATTTATTAAGGCTGGAGATACTGTCAAACCCAGCTCAAGAACCACATAGAAAAATCCAGCCAAGATCCCAAAACTGAGAATAATGCCCTTTGTAGAAACGACACTAGGAACTTGGAAAAATCCAAGTTCAGTTCTTTATTTGTTCACACCAAATCTTGCCAGATTACCCTATATTGCCCTCACCATAATGGATTTACCCTGAGAGATTATACGAAGTAGCTATTCTAACTCTCTGTCTCTGATCCAGATAGAGTTGTGTTGTTTTTTGTCTTGTCCCTCTCCTTGGAATGCATGTTCTCTTCCTGCAAAACTGCTGCTTCAATGCAGTTCATTGTATCACCTCCCCTTCTGTAGGCACAATCATCCTATCTGCTTTATGGGCCATAAAGTAACTGTTCCATGGCCATCTTAACCTCCAATAGTCATAAAATGACCGACTGTAAAGAAAGGAGTATCTGTATGCCTTCTACCAACTATTTTAAGGGAAAAAATACATTTTCACTCACCTCAAATTATAATGGGAATGCTTGATATAAAAAGGCTCTCCAGGACTTCTAAAGTTGAGCTGTAATTTAATAATTGTTTAAAATATTTGAGTTATTTTATTCATTACCCAGCAAGTATATAATCCCTCATGAGACATAAATTTCAATTAAAATAGCCATATGCAGGTTCCATGGAGTAAAAAAATATAATAGCTAAGCTTGGCCTACAAATTATGATACATATTTAAACATTAGGATTTATATTGGATATAGTTTCCAATTTTAGTAATTATTACTTTCTATTGGAAAGTAAATTAGCAAAAGACAATGATCCAAATAACTTTAACATGAGAACAAGTATTAAGTATGTTAGTGTAAAGATTTATCAAATGCAACTTTAAACAATCCTTAGAAGTCAATATACCTGGCAGGAAGACATAGAATAATTCTTCATGCTGATTTTCAATGTACTTGATTCGCCAATTTTAGTTGGAGGAAATGTATAGACATCTTCTTGGGCATATACCCCTTTCCTGGTTTAAAAAGAAAAAAGAAAAAATGCTACTAAAATAATCCTCTGTTTTAATTGGTATTTGTAATTGGGAAGTTACTTAAAGCTACAAAATGTATTTTATAAGACCAATCCGTCACTGTTTTAGTCTTAAGAAACATCTGAATTATTTTTCATGCCCGCAAGATAAAACTGCATTTCCTCCCAATTCTTGAACAATACTAAGAGGGTTATAGTTGAGTAAAGAGTATTTAAATATAGACTACTTCATAGTTTTGCATCTCGTGTTTGTTAAGAGTTCTGAAGGTAAAATATTATTGTTTCTCATAAGAAGATTGTTCTTTGTTCAGGTAAATTTATTCTGTGGGGGGCGGGGAAATCAGTTTGGGATTACATTTAATAAGCTTTGATTTTTAAAGAAGCATGACTGAAAAGCACCATTTATATTTTATCATCATGCTAAGCCATATTTAACCCTGGTTTGTAAAATAACCATGTAGTAGCTTGGCTTGTACATAATGTTATACCATAAATCAGGATTCATGAATCAAAATAGTAGATCACACCACATTAAAAATCAAATCCTTGTACAAGGCAAATCTATGGCCTTGATTTTATTACAAAGCAGTTTGTAGATATCATAAAATACTGCTAAATAGAATGTATATTTAAAACATTGAGAATGAATGAATGTGCAGAAATGTATTTTATAAATTATCCACTTTACATACCATATGTTGTGATCAAATATACTGAGGTATTCTCTTCTTTGTGATACATCTCGAATATTGATTTTTACGAATGATGATGCGGATACTTCGTTTTTTAACTGTTTACTGCTTAGGATACTCTGTTATAATATATAAATTACAAAATGTAATTAATTAGAGAAGTGCTATGCTTTTTTTACCCATTAATTATGCAGAAACTGAATCAACCAACTAATTTTATTCTACAGAAATTAAGTAAACCAGAGCTACTTCTTAAAGCTGATACTTTCATACTAAGGTTAGCATCATTATAGTTGCTAGAGTATAGGAAAAGAGGTAAGGGGTAAGTCCTAGTATTTTATCAAATTATGGTATTTTACAAAGTATATGACATAAGATTTCACTAAGATATTCTATTTAAATAGTTCATTTTAAAGCTTTAATCAGAAAGCAATTAGACATAAATATACAAATTGTTTACCATAGGGGTGTTTTTTTCTTCTTCCATTCTATGTAAAAGGAATGTTATAATTATGACTCTAATTCAAACAAAAAATAACTACTCCTTCATATTCTTACCATTCCACAAAACTGAAGTCTATATTTGTCTGTCAAATGAGGCTCATGCAATGGGTGACACTCAAGATCCCAAAACTGAGAATAATGTCCTTTGTCTCTAGGTAGAAACGACACTATAATCTATCAAAAAATTAGAAAATCATGAATGTATGACTATTTGACCAAACTTGATTGAATTAATAGAATGAACTATATTTGAACATTATGACATGATTTTATTTTAAAAAACACATTGCAAAACTTATTATTTAAATAACTTCACCCAACGAACTATTGATGGCTTTGAAAATATAATTAATAATTAAAATATTTAAAAACATAAAGAAAATGAAGCAAGACAATCTGGACTAAAAGCAACCATTAAACCCAACCACATCTGCATTCTCCCCAACATATTAACCCCAGGACTGAGACCAAGCCAGGTTTTAAAGGCTATTTGGACCCTCAGGAGACAACATGCTGTCTGTATGTCTGGGGAGATATTATTCCAGAGGATAGGAGAAGAGAAGACACACAGAAGAGGTCTCATAAAATGACAACATTTAATGAAGGGATCTGGAATTCATCAACTCAGTCCAAACACACTGAATAAGCAGAAATCCAAGTAATCAAGTCTTATACCAAAAAAGAGCTTTAAAGGTAATAACCAGCATCTTGACTCCATGTGGAAGCCAACAGGCAGCCAATGAAGCTTGCACAGCAGTAGTGACATGTGTCAATAATAGTTGCAGAAAAATATTATGGTCTCTGTGTAGCACAACACAGCCATTCGCCCATGAGGCTGTGTCCGGCTTTTTGGGAGTCCGCCCGCAAGAGAGCAGCTGCCCGGCAACCCCCCTCTTTAGCTGGGCACAGAGCCACTCACCAACCTAGCGGTATCCCAAAGGCGCTAAGCAACGCAATCACCTTTGCCCCCCCCCCCCGGTTCCCGCGGCTTGGCATCTTCGGGATACCGCTAGGTTGGTGAGCGGCGCTCTGCCTGGCCGGAAGTGGGGGGTTGTCCAGGGGGCTTATTTGTGGGGGAGNCGCGCTTTTGTGGACCGCAGTTTTGACGGGTCACGGTGTGGACAGGGAGGTCGCTAGGGTAAATAAAATCAACCCCTATTGTCCCATCTCCAGTTTAAGTCTTTCTGTGTTTAGAAAAGCGGGGTTGAAAGTCATGATTATTGCCTGAGAAGGTCTCACCAGCTTTAATTCCATCCATATTGTTATGTGTTGAGATTCAGCCATAATCATGTTCTATCCTCAGCTCTGAAATACATGTGAATGGAGGTACGGGGGGAATACTTAATGCTAAGGACATCACACTGGATAATTTGGGAAACACATAGCCCTACTGTCTCCAAGAGGTTTTGCTGAAATCCAGTCACTTTGTAAGATAAGAAACACAGCAGAGGTGGTATTCAGCCGGTTCGGGCCAGTTCGGGCAAACCACTAGCTCCAACGATCAGCTGGCCCCACCCACTCACCCCTGTCCTTTATTTCCTGCTTTCTAGCTCAACTTAATCGCACGGCACAGCTGATTCCCCCCCCCAGCTGTTTTACTTATCATTGCTGAGTTGGAAATTAAGCAGCTGAGCTTCGAAATGCTCCATTCTCAGCCCTGCGTGCATGCACAAATCACACTTGCGTGCAAGGCATGTGCTCCCCGAACCAGTTGCTAAACAGGCAGCATTCCACCACTGAAGCACATCCCCATAAACCCTCTGCAACCTTGTGAGATAAATGGAACAAACAAGAAAATGAATAGTAATTAACTGCCCTTTCACTTCATTGAAAACCTACAACTGATGCCAGATGTTCACCGCCTAAAAGAAGGGTCATCCCTCCATGCAAGACATAGAATAAGAGAGTTGGAAGGGACCTTGGAGGTCTTCTAGTCCAACCCACTCCTCAAGCAGGAGGCTGTATACCATTCCAGACAAGTGGCTCTCCAATCTCTTGTCTCTTACAGTCACGCCAAGGACTCAGAAGCTTTTTAAAGTGAAAATGAGATGAATCCAGGGAGCAAACCCATTCCTTTCCAGCACTGATGATGTTACCTAGTTGGGTGATGAAACGTCTGCAAGAAAACAACCAAGCTCCGAGAGGACCCAGGACCCCCTCAGTTCAAAACCTGAGCTACAAATATTCTCTTCAACTGGCCCTCCGAAGCTTATTTTCCCTGCCTTAAGAATGTAATTCCTTTTTGTACTTCTTTTGCTTTCTTTTCCTCCAGCAGTAAATTCCAGACCCAAAGCATTTTCTTTTAGCTCCAAAAGTCACAACCGCTCTGATAGCTACCCGTGATGTGTGAAGTATAAAAGCTGAGATCGTTATCCCAGATAGGAGTTCTATTACGGAAGTTCAGTCTATCTATCTCCTGTCTAAATTGGGCTTTGGCAGGGGAGAGAATGGAGCAGGGAAACGAATACCCTCTGTCTTTTATTCCATCCTCAAATGCCTCAGAAGTGATATTTACTGTTCAGCGTCTTCCCATTCTTCTCTTTCAGAAAATAAAGACTGCGAAATTGAGTAGCCCATTGGTCCTCTGGATTAATGCACATTTCAGTGAGCACCGCTACAGCTAATATGTTTTAACCTTAGCTATAATGTTGTGTATGTATTATAGAGGGAGCTGCCACAGCCACCTTCATCACTAACCATACTCCATCAGAGTTTTTATTCTTTGTAATGCTTCCCCCCCCCCAATTGTTGATTTCTTTGGCTGCTTTCCAGGCAGAAATGCATCCTATAATTGTCTTATGAGCCGAGGTGGTGCAGTGGTTAGAATGCAGTATTGCAGCCACTTCTGCTGACTGCCAGCTGACTGCAATTTGGCAGTTTGAATCTCACCAGGCTCAAGGTTGATTCAGCTGTCCATCCTTCCGAGATCAGTAAAATGAGGACCCAGTTTGTTGAGGGCAATATGCTGACTCTGTAAACCATTTAGAGAGGGCTGTAAAAGCACTGTGATGTAATATATAAGTCTAAGTGCTATTGCTATTTAAAATGTCTTCTACCA